CAGCAGGAACTGTTCCAGTGTCTTCAAAGTCATTGACTCCTGCAGGAAAACATGAACTTCTCTACTGTCCTGAACTGCTTTTCAAGGTTGCAACCACTCTATGTGGCATAAAAATAACTTCACCTGATGTTCCTCTGGCCTTTTTTTAAATATGGAATGTACCTTTCTGCTTTTCGCTGTGCTTACTAGAACAGAAGACAATGGGAAAGTCTCTATAAAGACTCCATGGATTACTAAGCTTTTTCCATGACTTGTAAAATTTGATTAGTCACTTTGGCTGCATTTTCATGTTGATTGACCTTTGTTTTGTCTAAGCAACTATCTCATTTGACAATGTATAAAATGTTGAGATTATAAGATATTTTCACATTTTCTCAACTGACTATATATGTATATACTATATGTACATTAAAATAGTTCTTGTTTTCTGCAGTTGTTTCTCCTGTTTATAAAACAATAAACCGATACCCTCTTAAACCAATTTCAACAAGTGACTAGGGGCAAAATGCACAGTCCTCCAGTGCAAGCATTTGACTAAAAGTGAATATGAGGCTTCATCAAATACAATGGATATCTGCCAAGGAATTTTTTTAACAAAACTCTTTTTGTGTAAGGTGCAAGCATTTGATTAAAAGTGAATATGAGGCTTCACCAAATACAATGGATATCTGCCAAGGAGTTTTTTTTAACAAAACTCTTTTTGTGTAACTATTTTGAAAAACAATGTGAAAGTATCCTTAATAGTTGCTGAAGTTTTTTTTTCTCTTTTATTGATGTTTTTTGCAGTGTAAACAGGGTGTATTGAAAAGGGGAATCTATTTCCTTTTCTCCCCCTTTCAGAATGATTTCATAACTCAGAGCCATTTCAGTATGAAGTATTGAAAATGCTTTTGTTTTTATCTTTCATTTGTGTGCTAATATTGGACGTACAATATTGTTGTCCAACTAAAATAAAGTCTAATTAGAAAGTGACCATCTTAAGTGTGTTTCCTCTCCCATTTCAGACTCAGAACATCATGTATGACATGATATCGGACTTGAATGAGAGAGGAGAGGACATGGAGAAGAGGATTGCCCTGTTGGAGACAAAGCTAGAGACTTTACTGGGCAACTTGCAGGCTCTGCCGGGACTCATCAGCCAGGTCATCAGCCAGCAGCACAGGGACTTCCTGGAGGTGCAGCTCCAGCCTTATGACAAACACAGCCCTGAGCGCTCTCAGTCAGTGTCCCGACGGAGGTCGTCTTCCACAGCACCGCCCACCTCCTCTGAGAGCAGCTAGAGTCCCAGGGGAATGCTTCCACTGAAGACTTTTGCCATCATATGGCCAAGTTGCATTTATTGTAAAACCTTATGGTTTCAATAAGTATTATCCGAATTCTGATGACAGAATCCAAGATACTGGGAGCAATGCATTTTAACGGATAACTTTGTTCTGTTATTTATTTTTTATTACCTCAAAAGATGTTATTCTTGCCCTGGTGACATGACCACAGATTAATGGCACATCCGTCAGTAAAATCAAGAAGGTTTATGGAGCTATAAGAACTCTACTCCATTTCTATGCAGAGGTAGCCAGTTTTAGATGGCAAAGTTACCAAGTGTGAAACTATTGCACTAAAATAGTGCTTTTCATAGACATTGTGCTTCTGCTGGCTTGATTCAGTTGCCATGTTCCTCAAAGCAAACTGAGAAACCACTGAGAAATCAATCAGATAGTGGTATGACAGTGCTATTGAAGAAAAGAAAAGATATAGATATATGATACTGAAGAAAAGGGCTGTGCTTGATAGACTGGAGTGAACTAACAACAGAAGACAGATGAAAATTGCTCCTAAACACTGTCACTCAGCGATTGCTTGAAATGAGGAACTATGTCATTTAGGGTAGAAACAGGATCAACTATGACAGTTTTCTTTTTGCAAAGTGCCCCTGTAGAATGACTATTTTTGGGGTGACACTGCAAATAGTTTAATCCTCTAGTCAAAATTAATGCATCAAAATCTGTACTTGCACTTACTTTTTAATCAATGCACTTTAGTGCTGTCTGACGTATGACATAAAGATGTGTTGCTCATTAAAAGAAGAAGATTTGAGATGTTTGGGCATGGGTTTATTATTGTTGATTCTCAAGTTGTGGCTTGTGTTCATTAATCAAGTCAAAACCATTTTCAGCTTTTTCAAAAAGAAGCAGTTACTTAGACCTGTAGAGGTTCTACAGAAATGTACTGAGTAATCACAAACTCTTTAATTACCCCTTGTTTTGCTGTGTCTCATCTCCTGTCCTACCTTATGCTTGCTGTTACCCCAGGTAAGCAAACTAAAAATGCTGAACATCAGCTTGCTGAAACTTACCCTTACCTTTTAAAAAGAAAATGCCTATTTTTATATGTTTTGATGAAGACAAGCACACCTCCTACAACTAAACAAACATGGGGATATAACTATCAGCAAATTCAGCATACTTAGTATATCGTTTCATAAATTTTGGCCTGGAGTTAAGATACAAAGTGCGTCTAACAGGTTCTTTCCTGAACGTAATTATAACAGATTTTAAAATTGCATTATTCTTTGGATTGCATTTATTTTTTACAGCAATACTTAGCTGGTAGAGACATGATCAAGAGCTGAAGTGGTAAGTCTACCCATAGTGGCTGGTGTTTATTAGGGGGATTTTTTGGGTTTTCCTTATGTAATAATAGTGATAACAGTAAGGTCTAGACCTTACTTTGTAAAGTGTCCTGGGATGACTTTTGTTGTGATTTGGCGCTATACAAATAAAATTTGATTTGATTTGATATTAGGTATTGAACTTTAAATGCCACAAAACAAGATATTTTAATTCAACTGAAATGTCCTCCTTGGCCTTTCATGGTGTTTATTTCCATATTAGCTCTGTGAACAGCTCTTATGTGACCAGTACAAAGCACCTAGATTCACTTAAAGAACAGAACATAGCATGGATCAGAGGAGATAGTGGTCTCTCATTAAATCAGCAGCACAGATTCTGTTCAATCAGCCCACCCAGTCCACAATCTTCAGAGACATAGTACCCAGTTAGAGATTAAACTGTATGTGACCTAAACATTAAGCAATTAAATAATGAAACTATACAATTTAACAAGTTTGTGTTTTTTTATTGTTACATAGGTTGTATCAGGTAGAATATTAAAATGTGTTTGTCACTGTACCAAAGCCAAACTCCTGATTCTGATTGCCTATTTTCTCGCGAGATTTCACGGGAAGTTGGGCAGAGCGGTGCTTGAGTGGTGAAGTCCTTGCTAAATAACGACGTATAACTTTGAGAACTTCAATGTGAAGTCTTTTCAGCTTAATTTGGATACGTTGATTGTATATACACGCTGCCGCTATCATGAGTATACTTGCCAAAATATCAGAGATTGAAAATGAGGTAAGCAAAAGTAAATAGACCAACCCAATGAATCAGTCACGTTTTAGCTAACTGCTAGCTATTAACGTTAGCATACAGTAGCGTAGCTCCCATAAATGGGTCTCGTATTGTACGTATTATTTCAGGAGTGCAGTTTCTTGACAGGTTACAGTTTGTATTGACAAAGCTACTTTGCCTGTTAATTCAGCGTGTCTTATGAATGAAATGATAGAATTTAGAGGATGTCAGGATATGGTTTAGTGCCAACTCCAGGTTCTGTTTGGCTGGCAGGCGCATAACGTTACAGTCTGTCATGTGTTCATTTTGTTTCCCAATAGCCCACAAAATATCCAAACAGAATATGAAACAATAATTTTTTAAAGCGGTCTACGCTTTCTAACAGTCAGAGTACGTTTTCTGCTCTTAAATGGGGCTACAAGATAGTTCCTAATAAAACGATATACAGTCAAATTATTTGAACCCCAGCTGATTTTGTAAGTTTGCCCACTAACAAAGAAATGATCAGTCTACAATTTCAATGGTAGGTTTATTTGAACAGTGAGAGACAACAATAACAAAAAAAATCCAGAAAAATGCATTACAAAAAAAGTTATACATTAATTTGCATTTTCATGAATGAAATAAGTATTTGATCCCTTTGCAAAACGTGCTTTAGTACTTTAGTACTATCAGTCAGCAAGATCTCTGGCTCCCAGGTGTATTTTATACAGGTAATGAGCTGACATTGGGAGCCCTCTCAGCTCGTTACCTGTATAAAAGAGACCTGTCCACAGAAGCAATCAATCAATCCAGATTCCAAATCCAGAGACCAAAGAGCTTTCCAAGGATGTCAGGGACAAGATTGTGGACCTACACAAGGCTGGAATGGGCTACAAGACCATCGCCAAGCAGCTGGGTGAGAAGGTGACAACAGTTGGTGCGATTATTCACAAATGGAAGAAACATAAATTAACTGCCAATCTCCCTCGGTCTGGAGCTCCATGCAAGATCTCACCTCGTGGAGTTTCAATGATAATGAGAACGGTGAGGAATCAGCCCAGAACTACTCGGGAGGAACTTGTCAATGATCTCAAGGCAGCTGGGACCATAGTCACCAAAAAAACAGTTGGTAACACACTACGCCGTGAAGGACTGAAATCCTGCTGTGCCCGCAAGGTCCCCCTGCTCAAGAAAGCACATCTACAGGCCCATTTGAAGTTTGCCACTGAACATCTGACTGATTCAGAGGAAGACTAGGTGAAAGTGTTGTGGTCAGATGAGACCAAAATCGACCTCTTTGGCATCAACTCAATTCGCCGTGTTTGGAGGAGGAGGAATTCTGCCTATGACTCCAAAAACATCGTCCCCACCATCAAATATGGAGGTGGAAACATTATCCTTTGGGGGTGCTTTTCTGCCAAGGGGACAGGACAATTGCACCGCATCAAAGGGAGGATGGATGGGGCCATGTACCGTCAAATCTTGGGTGAGAACCTCCTTCCCTCAGTCAGGGCATTGATTTTCCATCAAGTTTTTATTACTTGGAGAGGATCTGCAAAGAGGAGTGGGTCAAAATCCCCCATGAGATGTGTGCAAACCTTGTGGCCAACTACAAGAAACGTCTGACCTCTGTGATTGCCAACAAAGGTTTTGCCACCAAGTACTAAAGCACGTTTTGCAAAGGGATCAAATACTTATTTCATTCATGAAAATGCAAATTACTTTATAACTTTTTTTTTTGTAATGTATTTTTCTGTATTTATTTGTTATTGTTGTGTCTCGCACTGTTCACATAAACCTACCATTGAAACTGTAGACTGATCATTTCTTTGTTAGTGGGCAAACTTACAAAATCAGCTGGGGTTCAAATAATTTTTTCCCTGACTGTAGATACTGACTGGGAAAGAAAATATGGCTCAGTGTGAGTTATGGGGCTTAATATTGGCACTTTGAAATGTGTCTTGAACAAGAGCTTTTGGGAAATGGAATTAGAGCCATTATTGCCATCTTTCCTGTTGTCAAAATCCAATAACAGCTATTATAATGATCGCAAAATGTCAACTTTAACTGTAGCATATCACATCTCTTGCTGAGATTTTTAGTATCAATAAGTAAACCTTCATTTTAGTTGCAACATTTTTCGGAGAAGCTAACATTTGACATTCAGCTGTAGAACAGGCAGTTTTGTGGATGTAGAAAACATTGTGTTTAGGCTAGCAATGGCAACTGTTTTATAATCTGTTCTTTAAAGTAAATTCTCAAGGGAATATTTACTAGTTCTGTGGCCTCTTAAATGTGATAATTGCCTGCTTTCTTTAATGATAGTATCCTAGGGACTATGTGCTGTGCTGCTCACTGATTGTTAAAAAATTGTCATACAAAGAACAGATTTAGAGACCTCATGCTGCTGTTGTTACTGTAAATTGTAGATGGCCAGGACGCAGAAGAACAAGGCCACAGCTCACCACTTGGGTTTGCTCAAAGCACGTCTGGCCAAACTGAGAAGGGAGCTCATCACACCAAAAGGAGGCAGTAGTGGGGGAACAGGAGAAGGTAAGATTATGATTTTTAAAAAATTTTTGCTTGCTTGTCTTAGCTTGGTTTATTACAGACACACTTTTAAGCCTTTTCTGTACTGTAAACTATCATGACTATTTTGTTTGATTCAAGTTTTTGTATTTGTGTGTTTTAGGATTTGATGTAGCAAAAACCGGTGATGCTCGCATTGGCTTCATTGGTTTTCCTTCAGTGGGAAAGTCTACACTGCTGACCAACCTTGCGGGTGTTTACTCTGAGGTTGCTGCCTACGAATTCACGACTCTTACGACAGTACCTGGAGTCATTCGCTACAAAGGTGCCAAAATTCAGGTACAAGAACTTCTCATTTGTTTTTTAGTGTTTGGTATGGATTTAGTGGGTTGCTTAGTCTCCTTTCTTGCTTTCATCCTTCTAAGCTCCTGGATCTCCCAGGAATCATTGAGGGGGCCAAGGATGGCAAGGGCAGAGGCAGACAGGTCATTGCAGGTAAGGATATCATCTGTGAGGTTTCTACTGAGGCTAAAATAGGTTGGATGACAAAAGTGTAATGTTTTTTAAAAGTAGAATGCTTTTCTTGTCCTTCCTTCTGAATGACACACTTGTAAAAGTAAAGCTTCTCAAATGTTGTGATTAGAAAATGTTTGCAGACACATACTATATCCACTCCAGAAGTGAAGTGACTCCACTTGACTTTGACCATTGTTTTTGCTTTTTGTTTTAGTGGCTCGTACCTGCAACCTTATCCTGATAGTGCTCGACGTGTTGAAACCTCTTCTTCATAAGAAGCTAATAGAGCACGAATTGGAGGGCTTTGGCATCCGACTTAACAAGCAACCACCCAACATTGGCTTCAAGAAGAAGGACAAAGGAGGCATCAACTTCACATCTACAGTGTGTTTCATACAGCACCACAGCAGCTTAAATACAGACAAGTGAACTTTGAAATAACACCTGTAATGCTGATAGTAGCTGATTGTACTGGTAGTATATGTGTGTGATGGTGTTATGAAATGTTGGTCGTCTACTTGTCATTCAGCTAAGCTGAAAAAGTAAGGTTATCAAAGTGGGGACAATCACACTATAAGTTTATTGTCAATTAAGGGTTGTCCTGTGATAAGGCCTTACTTTGACATGAAGAATTTTAGTTGTCAGGTGTATTTGTGACTGATTGTCAGCTTATGTTTGATGATGGGCAGTTTTTTGCCATCCCATTTAGTTAAACAAATGTGTGAAAGCCTTTTGTGATCACCAGTGTGTGTGTGTACAAAGACATTATGTCAAGGTTTTAACTGATCTCCAAAATCACATGTGGAAAACAAATTTTTACATCATGAGGTCTCATCTCCATCGTGACACACACTAAAACAGTGCTGCCCTCTGATGGACACGCATGAGCTTACAATTAATATCTGCAAAATACCTTTTCTATCAGATAAATGCCTTAAGTACTATTGGCTTTATTGGTGCGCCTCACTTCATATTATGCTGTGCTTGGTGCATGATGTAAATTCTACAGTGTGAAAAGTATGCTATAATGGAGGTGCTTAATATGCCTGAAGTATTTTTCATTCTCTCACTGTCTGTGTGTATTGATATAATTCCTGCCCCCTCTTCTCGCTCTTTAGTGTGCACAAAGTGAGCTGGATGCTGAAACAGTTAAGAGTATCCTGGCAGAGTACAAGATCCACAACGCCGACATCACCCTGCGCAGTGACTCTACAGCTGATGACCTCATTGATGTAGTGGAGGGAAATCGGTAAGCTGATGAAGTGCCAGGCTGGGCCTTTCTTAGTCATTCCATGTGGGTGTGGCCTGTTGGAGTCTGAAATCCCATTTCAATCCCTACCACTGCAGATAAATTTGAAGATACTGGTTATGTGCCATATAGGCTTCTAACCACATTTATATTTTCAGGTCACATACTCTTGTTTTTTTTATAGGAGTGTGTTACACTAAAGTGTAATCTCTATTTAAGCAATGTCTTCTTTTAAAAACCTAGTGTGAGTAAATATAAAAACATACTATATGTGTTAAAAATCTTAATATCCACACGTTCCAGGACTCCTTTAGAATGTTTTTGCAGGACAGCAAACAGTGCAGCAGTCAACACACACACATCTACACAGGCATCAGAAATATCCTTGCTAAAATAATTAACTAAATGAAGTATTCGTTTGTAGTTGTATCTGACGGTTCCAGCCTGAAGCAGCTTACATGTAGTTAACAGTGGCTACCAGTAAATGGCTGAAAGCTGCTGGAAATTGTTGCTAATTATTTGATTTTTTTTTTTTTTAATTAATTTATAACATTAAACCAGTTTCTGACTGCAGTAATTTCATGAGCAGCAGCCATTTAAGTCTCTTGTCATCACAGGGTCTACATCCCATGCATTTATGTGCTCAACAAAATCGATCAGATCTCCATCGAGGAGCTTGACATAATTTACAAGGTGCCGCACTGTGTGCCCATCTCAGCCCATCACCGCTGGAACTTTGATGACCTGCTCGAGAGGATGTGGGACTACCTAAAGCTTGTGCGCATGTAAGAGTTGTTAAAACAATCACCACAAGGGGGTGTGAAAGGAGGTGAACAACAGTTGGTGGATGTGAATACTGCAGAAGTTTTTGTTTGCTCAGACTGAAAAGCTTGACTGAGATGATATGTCCATTTGCAGCTACACCAAACCCAAAGGTCAGCTTCCTGATTACACATCTCCTGTTGTACTCCCTGGCGGGCGAACTTCAGTGGAGGATTTCTGCTTGAAGATTCATAAAAACCTCATCAAAGAACTCAAATAGTGAGTAATGTAGACCGAGCTGAACATCTTCACATTTAAGCTATCTCTCACCATAGAGGTAACATGTTTTTTTTTCCCCCTCTTATTTTTTTTTTTGGTTATTACTTCTGTGTCTTATCACATTCAAACTGTTGTTGGGTTATTCAGTACTTGTAATTCATATAGACAGATTATTGGAGATAGAAAGTCATTCACAAAATGTTTGTGTTTTGGCTGTCATTGAGTTTATTTTTTCCCAAATGGCTAGGATGATTTAGATCTGTAACAATGTTATTTACCAGCTTTATTCCACACTCCAGTTAATTCATTCGGTTTCTTCCTGGATTAGAGTGTTTTTTTACTAAAATGGAAGTCAAGCACTCATTTTACTGTAGAAAAAGAATCACTTGAATCACAGTCATTACCCTGTTTATGGTGAGATAAGCCAAATAAGCATTAATTGTAGAGTTTGGATGTGTTGCCTGTCAAACAGTATTACCCATCCTCCAGGGAGTGGACAGGTCAAACAGGGACACATGCGATTAGAGAGCCTTTGTAACTAAAGGATGTCATTGTACCCTATAGAATAGATTGAGTTTCACTGATCATTTTCTGGTGTGAAGTACTGCATGATGAGCTCTATTCTCTCTTTTGTTCCGTAAGGTGTTATGAAAATGAATTGTGCATCATTTAAGGGATCATTCTGGTACAGTACTTTAAACCATATAGTAGTAGTAATAATTTTAACTTGTCCTTTTTCAGTGCTCTTGTGTGGGGATCATCTGTGAAACACAACCCTCAAAAGGTGGGAAAGGACCATGTGTTGGAGGATGAAGATGTTATCCAGCTGGTGAAAAAATAAAAGGAGTCTTAATTCACCTCATGGGCTGTGCATTACAGTCTGAAGGTGTTCTGTACCGTTGCGCATTAAATCATCACGCGTGTCCATCACAACATCTGTGTCATGTGGTTCCCAGGTTTTTGTTGTAATTAAAAACAATGACCTGAATCTGTGTTGCGTTTCAAAGAACCTGGTTCCTATTTAAAATTGGTTAAGACTTGCATTCAAATTTAAAAACATCTGTAAAATAAAAACCTAAAAGAAACTTGCTGTTGTGTTCATATACAAGCACCTTTTCTTTTTAAAGCATTTTTTCTCTTAATACACCTCTTTCACTCATTCATATGAATGTAGCCATGTATTCAATAGCAAGTATAGCCGTGTACTGTACACTTATTTCCTCTTTTTAAATCTATTTCAATCCATATGCTTCATGTGCTCTGCTTGTAAATCATCACAGAAATATTGCATCACTGAATCCTGTGCTCCATCACAGTTACATAGTCTCCCTCAGAAGCACAGCAACAGTGTTACCGTAACCACTTCAGCCTGGCTCGGAGAAAGAAGTCTCATTTGAAAGCCCTGTCCAGCTAAGTGATTTATGTGACATTGATGATGAAGGCAGTTATTCAGGCTGGTGGCCCACCCCCTCTTTCTGGTAGGGACAGCCACTCAGGTTAATCAGTTCATTCACTCAGACACAGTCTGGGGACATCATACCCCAGCTGTTCACAACTAACAAGACTGCACAAAATAAAAAGCATTTCATCAGAGCCGGGAGCACTTCTGGGGGTTAGCATTATCTAATGTCGATATGTTACAGTCTGTATGAAGTGCAATGGCCATTTTGTGTCTGAGCACCGGGTACTAGCCAGTG